CTGTGGAAGGCTTTATGGCCCTTTCTCAAAAAGTTGCAGATAGATACCATTTGACCCAGCAATTCCACTACTGGGAATTTACCCCAAAGAGACCATAACTGACATCCAAGCAGATATATGCACACCCATGCTTATTGCGGCTTTGTTCGCAATAGCAAAGAGCTGGAAACAACCCAAGTGCCCATTAACAAACAAGTAGATAGAGAAGCTCTGGTATATTCACACAATAGAATACTATACAGCATTGAAAAACAAGGAACTCATGAAATACTCAAAATGGGTGACCTTGGAGGACATTACGTGAGTGAAATATCTCAGTCACAAAAGGACAAATACTGCATAGGGCCACTGTTATAAAACAGAACTGACATTGGGGTTGAGGGAAGGCAGAGAAGGAGGGGAGGAATGATGTATACTGCAGTGAAACAGATGAGGGAGAGAACTGTTTAAAAGGGATATGTGGTTGTGTATTACTGTCATGACAGGAGTCCAGAATGAAGGCTGCATAGTGGAGTGGACTTGGGGGAGGGATTGCATAACCATGAAAAAGTTTGTCTTTTACTTTTCAAGAAGAGTGAACAGGGTGGGGAGGGGAGGGAGAAAAGTGCAACAATAAATGACTAGAAGCCCTAAGTCTCTGTAAACTTTCATTCAAATGAATAATAAAAAAATAGACTACATAAATTTGAAGAAAAAGTTTAGATATGAAAAAAATTGTTAGATGATGTTGAGCACCACTTACAGAGAGCCAGTAAGTCATGGCCACCTGCCCCGTGCCTTCCCGACCATCTGCACTGTGCTCACACCCATGGTCATGGTCATGGTCATGGTCACAGTCACGGTGGCATCATCTAGCTCAGGGTCTCCCTCTCCTTTCCTTTTCTCTCCCTTTCCGGTCATGAAGTCTTTTTCCAAGGACTGGCCCCTCCTGAGAGCTCTGGTGGCCTAGTAGATAAGGAGTTGTGCTACTAACTAAAAGTAGGCAGTTCAAATCCACCAGCTTCTCCGTGGGAGAAAGCTGGACACTCTCCTTCCGTGTAACTTACAGCCCATGAAAACCTTCTGGAGGGTCAGCTAAGGGTTGTTCTGACCAAATGACAACATACCCAAAACATGTGAGACAAAATTACAATATCTTTGTTTCTAAGGAGCACTCTGGTGGCGGTTTCTCTTGGACATATTTATTTTTCTTTTGGCAGGCCTTGATATATTGAGTACTCTCTTAAAAGACCTAATTCACAACTTTGAGGTGCATAGAAAGCTATTGAAAATATCAAAGTGTGGATTGGGCACACCTTAGTCTTAAAACTGACATCCTTGCTCTTTAGCATGTTAATGAAGTCCCTACCAGCAGATTTTCTCTGTGTAACTTGTTTGAGTTTGTTAAAATTAATGGAGTAAACTGAAAACAACAGATGTCGTTCCAGATATGCTAATTGGTCTCTCTGCCTAGAGCAGCAGAGGAAGAAGGCAAGTCAGGACAAAGAAGAGACCATGGAATGTATAACTAATTGCCTCCTTGAACAACTGCTGCTTTCACTATAAGACCAGAAGAACTGGATGGTACCTTTACTAAACCTTTTTATCAGAGCCAATAGCAGAATCGTGATCAAAAGAGAACTTCAGAATATAATGTAAAATGCTAAGGGACTTGCAGTAATTTCTTAACACCATGGTGATTGATTGAACCCCTGAAACTATTGTTGTTATGTGCCATCAAGTTGCCTCTGACTACAGGTGATACTGTGTACAACAGCTCTGAAGCCTGCCCTCTCCTGAGCCAGTGTCACTGACTCTTGACACACCTAATCCCATTGTCCCTGTTCATGTATCAATCCATCTCATTCGGGGTCTTCCTCTCCTGAACTGTTCTTCACGTTTCCAAGAATGATGTCCTTCTCCAAGGACTGGTCCCTCCTGGCCACATGCTCAAAATGTAAAATGGAGCTTCAGAGTCCTGGCCTCCAAGGAGAAACTTGGTTTCATTCCAAAACAGACCTATTTGTTCTCTTGGCAGTCCATGGTATGTTCTCCCATACTATAGCTCAAAGTCATCAATTTTCCTGCCATTTTTAGTCATTGTCCAGCTCTCTAGTGCATGGGATATAATTGTGAAGACCATGGCCTAGATCAGGCACACCTTGGTCTCTAGACTGATGTCATTGCTCCTCAGCATTCTGGAGAGGACCCTTAAACCAAAATTATTCCCTGAAATCTTCTTACAAGTAAGCAGTAAACTGCTTAAAAAAAAAGGTCTGCCTTGAGCATTAACTCATTTAAGAACTGTCCGTACAGATCAAGTTGCTAACAGCTCCGGTGGCCTGTTTAGTGGGAGGAAGCTGTGCTACAGTCCAAAAAACACAGTTCAAATCCACCAGCCGCCCCGCAGGAGAAGGGTTGAGCAGTCTCCTCCTGTGCGATTTACTGCCTCTGAAAATCCACTGGAGATTCAACTGTGGATCACTTCCAACTCAGCACATGACAGTAACAGCTCCAGAGATTAGACTGTAGGAGCCAGTGAGTTTACGTGCCTGGCAGAAGAACATCTCGAACCCGCGCATCATTTCTGTGGACAGATGAACAAGAGATTGCAGAATGAAAACCGCATGGTGAGGTCCAGCTCTGGAACCCGGGGGTTTGACGGTGTAGGGGTGCATCTTGATGGCAGCCAACAACAGGGACAGTGCAGAGGCAGGACGTAGACTGAAGCTCCCTGCAGAAGGGTGAGGACGGCCAGTGCCTGCTCGTAGGTAGGAGCCTTTCATAGCGGTGAAGAAATGTTCTAAAATTGATGGTGGTGACCACTGGACAGTGCTGTGAGTGCATTTGAGACCAGTGGATTGTACCCTTCAAATATATTAATTGTGTGTTAATTATATGTATTAAAAGGAGCCTTTAATAAACAACAGGCCTCTCTGGTGGGCTAGTGGGTAGGGAGTTGTACTTTTTCCCTTTCATTTAATTTTTTATTATTATTAATTTTAATGAAAGTTTACAGAGACTTTGGATTTCCATTCATTCATTGTTGCACTTTTCTCCCTGTCCACCCCCTCCCCTCAATTCACTCTTCTCTTTGAAAAGTAAAAGAAAAATTCTTTCATTGTTAGACAATCCCTCCCCCTCCAAGTCCACTCTACTATGCAGCCTTCATTCTGGACTCCTGTCATGACAATAATAACCAATCATATATCCCTTTTAAACAGTTCTCTCCGTCATCTGTTTCAATGCAGTATACCTAATTTATCCCATCTTTATAACCCAAAGGATGCATCTCTCTGTTGGTTCGAATCCATCAGCAGGAAAGAGATAGGCAGTCTCCTCCCATGTGACTTACTGCCCTGGAAACCCAGCGAGGGGCAGCTGCGAGTCGGTTCTGGCTTGACAGTAGTCAGGTTTTTAATTCAACGGCAGAGTTAGCATCTGCCCGCTCTCATTGGACACAGCCCTGATTGCACAGTGGTTGAACACTTGGCTGCTGGCCAAAAGGTGGTTGTTTGGGACCCGCCAGCAGTGCTGGAGGGCAAAGGCTGACTCCACCAGCAGCTTTCCAGGAGAAGGATGGGCCGTCTCCTTCTGTGCAGTTTCCAGACTCTGAAAGCCCACTGGAAGGTCAGTTTAGAATTCACAGCAGCGGGTTGTGTTTTTGAGTTTTGTTGTTAATGCCGAGAGTGTGAGGACACCCGCGGGTCAGGCGTGTTTCGTTCCGTCATTCACAGAGTCCCTGAGTATCCGAGCTGGCCTGCAGCCCCCAAAACCTTTAGGGGAACAGACTGAGGAGGTCGGTAGGACGTGGTCCACATCCATCAGCCGTAGCTTTGCAGGGGACAGGTGGACCATCCTCTCCTGGGTGAGAAACAGCTTCTGGAACCTGAAGGAGTGTGAGCTGCAGTCAGCAGTGAGGTGGGAGTGTTCTTCCTTCCTGTGCATCTTCTGACATATTCACACTGGCCACCTTCCCGTTAGCATCTGAACGCTTAACTACTGACCCACCAGAACTCTTTTCTCTTAAAGTTTTCCACCTTGAACACCGGGGAAGCCGTGGCCTGTCCTCTGGGGAACCCTGGAGGAGCTGTGCCTCATCCTCTGGGGGAGCCCTGGGGAAACTGTGCCCCATCCTGTGGGGTAGCCCTGGGGAAGCCATGCCCTGTCCTCTGGGGGAGCCCTGGGGAAACTGTGCCCTGTCCTCTGGGGTAGCCCTGGGGAAGCCATTCCCTGTCCTGTGGGGGAGCCCTGGAAGAACTAGGCCCCTTCCTTAGGGGTGCTGTGCCCCCTCCTGTAGGGGAACTCTGAGGAGCCATGCTCCATCCTTTGGGGGAGCCGTGCCCCATCCTGTTGGGGATCTCTGGGGGAGCTGGGCCCCATCCTGTGGGGGAGCCGTCACCCATCCTCTGGGGTGGAGCTGGGTCCCATCCTGTGGGGGAGTCCTGGAGGAGCTGTGTCCCATGCTGTGACCTGTCTGGGAGCTGGGCCCCGTCCTTTGGGGGAGCCATGTCCCATCCTGTGGGGCCTGTGAGTTGGAATCACCTCACTTGTGATTTTCCTAACAGCTCTCACTAGGGTTCCTGTGGACACAGAGTCGCATGTTGCTCCCTGACTAGGCTTAGTAGCCATCTGACACGATGTCACCTGTAACTGTCACTGCCGGGTAATGCATCTTCGCCGCCTGGGAAACCGTCACGGGGCAGGACCTGAGTGGATGCTGTTGTGTCCAGTGTCGCCTCTGCACTTGCTTTATGCTTTGTTGTTTGTTGCACTGCTGATCCCGAGACATATTTGACCAAGAGCCTTGGGACATTCCCCAGAGATCAGGAGCAAGAGGCCAGCGGTCTCCTCCGAACCTCGCTGACCTTCTGTACTTAATGATTGCAGGCTGCCTGGACAGACGTGCACACAGGGACGCTGTGTGGTCGGGGATGCTGTGTGCAGAAGGCCCTGCCATTTATTCTGATGGGCATGTTACTGTCCCCGGGTTAATCGTGACCCTCTCGTTTCTGTTTCAGTGAAAGCTGGCGGAATGCGAATTGTGCAGAAACACCCGCACACCGTGGACAGCAAAGACGAGAAGGACAAGGATGACCAGGAGTGGGAGAGCCCCAGGTGGGAGTCACTGCGACGTGGGAGCCCAGCTGGGTTAAATGTACACACACTTCACAAAGGCCGAGTGTGAGCGGCAGCGCTTGCAGCCTGTGCTGTGATGGGAACCTGGGGTCTTAGCCCACTCAGTCAGGTGGAGAGGTAGAGAAGACCCCTTCCTGACTTGACCCTCTGGCCCACCTTGTCCCACAGGCCCACTTTGTACCTCAGCCTCAGCCCATTTCTCCCCACCTTGCTTCAGCTTACCCTGGAGAACCACCCTGTACCCCACCTCACCCCACCTCACTCTCGAGGTTCACACTGCACCCCACCTCATACCCTCACCCCCACCTCAGCCCAGAGGCTCACACCACCCACCCCACCTCACTCTCGAGGTTCACACTGCACCCCACCTCGTACCCTCACCTCCACCTCAGTCCAGAGGCCCACGCCACACCCCACCTCACTCTCGAGGTTCACACTGCACCCCACCTCATACCCTCACCTCCACCTCAGCCCAGAGGCTCACACCA